TCCCGACGAATAGCATCACGACAATAACAACGAAGAAGATGATCAAAACACAAACATTTCGATGGTTACTCACGTTTGAGGCTGGGTTGGATCGTCCCCCAGGGATACATTCTCCCCCTGGATTTCATTGAAACACTTCTCACAGAAGTGGTACCTGTCAGCAAGAAGCCCATATTTGGGTGAACTAGACCGTTCGTCAAGAGCACAGCCAATCACAGTGAGGGCACGTGGAAGCAGCCACCAATCAGGGCAGGGCAGGCCAGGAGACAGGCACACAGGAGAAGGCAGGTTCGTCGCCGGGAGCAGCCAATCATGAAGCAGGTTTTTTGTGTGGGCAGATTGATTGATTGGTTGCGTGTAAATTTCGGAGCGGATGATTGGTCACATCAAAGCAGGCCAATGCAGACATCACAAGCGTTAAAAAAGGAGGGAGAGAAAGGGAGGGGGGGCGGCAGAATGAATATTTTAAAAAAGTGTGAGAAACAAAACCGTTATGAGGGACAAAGAGCTACGTGTTGAACAGGTGGAGGGGTGGGTCAGATGTAGAAGAAGAAAATTAAACCAAAAGAGAGAGCAGGAAGCCGAGGCAAAAGCACAGACGTCTCCCTCGCGTCCGCTGAGCTCTAAAACAACCGTGACGCCCAGAGGAGCGAGGGACAACAATGGACTGAGTGAACGAACTGAAGAGAAGAATGAGAACAGGAGCAACAGAGACCCATCATCCTTTCAGGACATTTTAAAGAGGGTCCCAAGATTCGCTACTAAAACAACGTGTGACAGATAAACAGTTAGTACGCCCTGTAGTTGGCAGCATGAATGAAGTCTTAGCCAATTTTGAAATACTGTACTTTTAGTCAGTACATTTTGGGTGAATCTCATAAAACATATCCAGGTCATATTTTACCCCAAAAATAATGTTCCTTGCATAAAGCAAATGAAGGACCACTGATATCTGACATTATCATTTTACAAAATTCTTTATTTAAATGCAGCTTAAAGGCATCACAACATAATAATAAAAATATATATAACAACAACAATATATAACATACATTATATATGGCTGCTTTCACATGGGCTTATATTTTATTACCATTTGTTGTCAATCTTTTTTTTTTAAATACATGTTAATACTAATATTATTATTATAACAAGTGTTGTTATATTGTGACTTGACATGTTTTATGTAGCCTTTTTATATAACGAATGTAAGGTTCAGCTTAAGTCTAAGGTTGCCAAAGTTATACAAAAACTTAAGCTTTGCACAACCCACGCCGAAACCTCTGATTCTGGTGAAAGTCTTTGCCACCCTATGCGAATAAGAGTTTTGCTGTTAGGATCTAGGATTATGTAACTCAGAAAACTGACAATGATTTTCACTAACGCATTAGAGGAAGAGCACTGCAATCGTTTTGCTTCCTTATTAGCACTTTGTTATGTTGTGCTTGCAGCTACCAACTGAGGTAATCAACACAAATACTTGCCAACACACCTGTTAATTGTAAGTACACCAACAAAATGTCAAAACACAACTGGAGTCAAAAATGCAGACCCTCTTTAAAATGGCCGTTTAAAATCAGAAAAAGAGCAGAGATGTGAAATGTGGTCTATTTTGCCACCGAAAGTCAAATCAACAGGCCTGAAATTCAACAACACCCTGATGTGGGAAATATGTGCTCACAGCAGAACAGCATTTACATTTTTACATAGAACATGAAAACAGAACTCTTAAAAATACTCACCTCAATCTTTTTACATACAAATACACAATATAAACCAAATCTAAATGTGGCAGATGTAGTGGAGTAGCCTAGTGTCTATTAAAGTGTTCAGAAAACAAACAGCTTTCATAATACTTCATTCTAGCACTGGGCCGCTTCACAGCAGAGCTTTTAATGCTGCCAGGCAACATGAAATTGATTTTAGGCTGAAATGCAAATGATCTACCATAGTGTGATGACATGCCTGATGGGGTCAGGCAATTACCCATCAGGCCACATTCACTATGATATAACTATTCGTATGAATATAATAGCTTGCTTCTGTTTGTATGCATAATATAGACTCAATTTAAGTCTCTTTGAACTTTCAAGTGGTTATTCTTACTCTTATACGACTGATAACTCTGTATTTTAATGGCTGTACTGCACAGTATTAAGCTATGGGTGCGAGTGACTGTGTGTAGAGAGGATCTAGTGTGTATAATACAGTGGATATAGTGTGTATAATACTGACCTGTTCTGGTAACTGAAGTACGCAGCGTCTCGAGGGATGGTACACAGCTGTTTGCCATAGCAGCACAGAGTTTGAGGAGAAAACTCCAACTGAAGAAGAAAAATAGGTATAGAGGGATTAAAAGAGAGAGAAAGAGGAAGAGGAGAGTGAGGTAGCAATATCCCATTAGTTTTAGCAAGAAACCACAATCTACTTCATAATGTGCCAAACACTACAACTTAACTGTGGTAAAAACGCTGTAATAAGTGTTTTACTGCTTTTATACACGAAATCAGTAATGTGGCAGATGACATTTCTTATCGTTTAATAAAAATAATCTAAAAAACTACAACAACAACAAGTAGTAGTAGTAGTTATAATAATACATATTTAGCATACATTTAAGACAAGTATTAACTTGTATTGCTCCCTGAAAGGATTGTTGTTGTAATAATAATAATAATAATAATAAAACATTATTAATAATAAATGTTGTATATTAACATTTAATATTTAATACAAATATGTTTGGTATTATATTGTGATATAATTCTTCTTATAAATAAATAAATAATAAAGTATTTTAATACATATTTAACAAAACATTTAACATGCTGGAATTATTCTTTTTATTAACAGTTCTATTGTTAAATAAGTTTGGTATTATAAGGTAGTACATTATAATTAGGGCTGGGCAAGTTTATGCGTTTCTCACACTACATGCGTACCGCGCCCGGTACACTAGTCAAACAAACCGGGCTTTGGGGGTCAAACACGCTCGGGCTCGGTTAAGATTGCCTAGTGTGAGTACACCCTTATTCTCCCGCATCCCGCACACACGAGTATATACTCGCCCATCAAGTGTTGTCCCGCGCCACATTGGGTCCCGCGATAGTGCAGGTCTCTACTCGTTAGGAGCCTGTTATAATGTTATGATCGAGGCTCTGGATTCTGAGCATACCTTGCTTTTCTATAACAAATAGCTTTGGTTTTATATTTAATTTGATTACATTAATGTTTAAGTGGAGATTTACAATAAATATTTTAACTGCTGAATACTGCTGTAAAAAAGCACTTTATTTGTTTAAAGTGTTTGCAAATCAAATGTTATTGCACTTTTGTTCATATAGCAGTACTTTTAAATGAAAAAAGTGCGCAATACACTACTTTTGATTTCATTATTGAATTTTGTGCATAATGCAATTAAATCGCAAATTAATTGTGATTTTTTTTAAATTAATCGTTGCCCCGCACTAATTATAATTTCAGCCAACAATATAGTGAGTGCCTTAAAAGTATGTTTAGATACATATTATTATTATTAAGACAGAATTATAATTACTACCGTATAATATTATTATTATTATTATATTGTTTAATAAGTTTTGTATTATATGGTAGTATATTATAATTCTTCTAAATAATTACATTTAATACAAATAAGTTTGGTATTATATGGAATTATGTTAAAATTCTTCTTCTAAATAAATAATATTTGTATTTTTAATACATATTTAACATTTAACATTCTTGCTGGCATTATCATTATTATTATTAATAATAATAATAATAATAATAACAACAGTTCTATTGTTAAATTAGTTTGGCATTATATGGTAGTACATTATAAATATTCTTAAGTAGTATTTAACATACATTTAGTATACCAACTATACTGTTTGTTGAAATTGTTATAATAATAATAATAATAATAATAATAATAATACTTATATTGTTAAATAAGTATTATATGGTATTATACGGTAGTAATTATAATTCTGTCTTAATAATAATAATATGTATCTAAACATACTTTTAAGGCACTCACTATATTGTTTGCTGAAATTATTGTTATAATAATATAAATAGTTAAATATTATTAAATAAGTTGTGTAGTAGTATAGTAGTATATTTTGGTTACTTTAAAACCAGTGAAATCTGATGGGTTGAGCCACATTCCTTTTTTAAATCTTATTAGTAAAGAAAACAAAACCAACAAACACACACGGCTCACCTTCCTTCCACAGCAGTAGCCCAACTCCTGCATGATGGGGTCTATTTCCTGTTCAAACACCTCAGCCAGTTTTGAGCAGTATTTATACACCCGTGACGTCTTCCTGTTATACAGCCAGGCGTTATTGAACATCAGCCACACGTCGTCCACGTACTGCCAGGGCTCCTGGTACTGACCCGTGTCCAGCTTACGCTTGATAGTGGACAAGTCCATGGGGTTTTTCACTATATCAAAGTAGTCCTGGAGAACGGAGTCCAGATCGCAGATGAAGTTCATCAGCAAGTGAAAGGGAGTTGCAGTCGGACAGAGCGAGGGACGGCGGCCCGGCGGGTTGAGAGTCAGGGGGAGAGAAGAGGGTGCAGGGGGACAATGTTGAGCGCTGTAGAAGAGGTTCACATGCACAAACAGAGAAAAACGTAACAGACTCCCACTGCCTCACTCAATTCTGTACCCTATTTCTCTCCTGTTCTCCCATACACACAAATACACACACAAATCTCTGGGCCAGCAGCAATGACGGCAGACATCTACTGATGAACTGGGGTGGGCAAAGGTACATGAACATAATATGGTAAGATAGTAGGCTGAATCACATTATAAAATGTCAAGAAAATTATATTTTGCATTTTGAGCTCATTTTTAAGACCTTTAAGGTTTTGCATTGTTTGCTTTAAATTCATGACAATTAAACTTTATTAATGACAATTGACGCCCCCCAATGTTAATGAAATATTACTAAAAATACAATAGTAAGTGTATGTCTGAAAGAATTTGCAGTAATGAATTTATGATTTGAAATAATAACACTTTACAAAGGTTTCATTTGTTAACATTAGTTAACCACATTGGTTAACAAACTAACAATAAAAAAAACATACTTTATTGATCTTAGTTAATGTTGATTCCAACATTTCCAAATACATTATTAAAATTAAACATTTTATCTATTATATCTAATAGAGTAATAATATCCATCTAATAGAGCTGAGCTAACATGGACTAACAATGAACAGTTGTATTTTTCTTAATTAACATTAACAAAGATTAATAAATACTGTAACAAATGTATTGCTCATTGTTAGTTAATGCACACTATATACATATTATATAGTTAACAAGTGGAACCTTACTGTAAAGTGTTACCATAATGATAATGAGTATTATATTTATCATCATCATCATAATCATCATCATTATAATTACTTTAACAATTAATATTCTTAATATACATTTTAAAATTATGAAGATATTAAATGTGCTCAATTGTCACAATGATGCTGCAATGCAAAAAAAAAAAAAAAGTCCTAAAAATAAGCATTATGCAAAATATAATTTATTGTTTTTCTTTTGATTTCGGCATTTCTTCATAATATTCACTTGTTAACCATTATGACTGTAATTTATTATTATGCTCCGTCATTATTTATAGCTTGGAAACTGTATTTAAAGTGCCCCTATTATACAATTTTTAAGGTTGCTAATATTGTTTTATGAGTCTCCTAAAACAGGTTTACATGCATGCAAGGTCAAAAAACACGCTAGTTTTCTCAAAAAATTGATTTAATTTTACTTCATTTCTAAATGATTCGTAAACGACTCGTGTGAAGCAGTTCAAAGAATCAGTCTCTCTAAACCCCTCCTTTCCGTGAGCCCTCACTGCTGTGATTGCTCAGATGGCGCAGTCCTTTGTGATTGGTCCAGAGCCGTAGAGAGATTGGCTCTGGATTGGTCTACCGCGTACAGCGCGTGTCGGAAACGAAACACCCATTGCCATGACGGAATGACAGTCCTGGAGACTTGTCAATACATAGAAAAGATGGTATCAATTGTACCTTACCAATTCGAGCCGGAGTCTGATGATGAAACTGTAGAACTGGCTGATCGACAAGAAACTGATTTGCAAACACGACTGGAGCAGGACTTTTCTCAGTGTTAAGTGTCAAGTGTTAACAAGTTTGTGGTAATTATAAGATGTGATAAAACAAATTTACTCTCACAGCGTAGGATACAGCGTCTTCTCGACATGATGTTAACCACACGGAAATTTTACTGTGTTTGCGGGCGGGCAAGTTGGTGACGTAAAATGTGGGCAAACCTTATGCAAATGTGTTACTTCGTGACGTAGAGCCGTAACAGAATAAGATTCGAATTCCTGACGACTCGTTTAGGCGATTGCGAGCCGATTTTTTTTTTGATAGACAATAACTTTATTTATCGTGCACTGTCGGCTTCACAACTTTGCAGATAGTTTATGTTCACATACAGCTA